CAGATAACACATCCATGTCTGCTCAGTTTCTGCAGAGTGGACACAGACAGAGCCTGCTCTGCGGGCAGCTGGGAGTAAATGGATTCCGCTGTCCGTTTACACCCAACTATCCACTGATCCTATCCACCTAAATGGAAGAGGACAGATCCTGAACCATTTTTTAGCGGACCAGACCCGGAGGTAAGCAGGTAACACACGTCCCTTTACACCCACCTGTCCATGGAATGCATGGACCTTCTGATCAAGTCCGCCTGAAAAACTGCCAGGAGGACCTGATACAATCACCCATGTGAAAGGACTCTTTAAGTAGAACTGTAGCCAGGCTATAGACATCCAAATGTAGAAGTAGCACCCTTCTGCTGCTAGGTAAATTTAGTTCCAATGTAAACTGTGAAGCAGGGGTTGAGTGCTTACTGCTGCTCAGAGTTTCACAGGCTCCTGTTCTGCTACCTTCCCCTGTCTTCTAGAAGCTTCTAGTATAGTGGAAGGACAGACCAAGTAGCCTGAATATTTACAGAACTCGAGCCAATCCCTGGGGAGGTGTGCCCAGAAAGGTGGAGAGAGCTCATAAATAGTGTGAGGCCTGTGTAACAGGACAGAGTGTTCCTGGGTCAAGTCCTGCAGGAGGAGACCTCTCTGTTGGGGCTGTGCCCCGTGGGGCAGAAATCTGGGAGGAAACCAGCCTTAAGACACCGGGTCTCTGCTAGGCTCAGCGGTGGGCCTATTTACAAGTCCTAGTATAAGGATTCAGTTGGGTCAGGAGAAAGTTAATTGGAGGAAGCTGTGGGAGAGAGCTCAAGTTGCACAGAGGCAAGTGTGAGTCTACATCTGCCTCACTAGGAAGAGCCTGATGGATATTGACAGGAGGCAATAGATGATCCTGTGGCTAAGTAAGTGCAAGACCCCAGTTCTGCAGAGTGTGACAGTGTGGTGCTTTGAAACTCTGGAAGGAGTGCAGGTCACAGTGAGACACAAACCTTCTGGCAATGGCACATATTGAAGTGCCATCCTGGAGGAGTTGGACTGCCTGTGCAACCTCTGTAGGGTCCAGGTATCACCCCATGCTACCAGTAGTGACTCTGACCCTAGACAAATGCAAATCTAGTGAAAAACAGTCAGAAAAGATGAGTAGGGAAGAAAATGTCAGTGGCCTACACCTGTAAAACCATTCCTGTTTTGGGGTCATCTCATTGTTGCCCATCTAGTGCACCTGTTAATTTCATCAAAACCAAAGCAGCTAAAAAACTGATTAACAACCTCCTCTGCTACTTAAATGACCAGATCAATACTCCAGGAGTTTAATTGACTTGATGCTATCCTCTGATTAAAAAGTGTTCCTTTAATTTTTTTGAGCAGTGTATATACCAAAGCTTGTAGACGCTAAAACTTTAACACAAACCAATTAATATACACTTATTGGGTTTTTGTTTGTTTTTTACCAAATACATATTCAAATACATTTTGACCTAAATTAATAAAAAAAAATTTTTTATTGGATATGTTTTATAGCAGAAAGTAAAAAATATAGTTTTTTCCCCAAAATGTTCAATCTTTTTTGTTTATATAATAAACAATACAATAATAATATATATAATATAATATACAGTTGGTATAGAAAAGAATCACCCCCTTTAAAATTACATTTTGTTGCTTTGCAGCCTGAAATGAAGACACACAGTTTTTGTTTTATCCAGCTGTATTTACTTAGTGCAACGTATAATATCCAAGTGAAGGATTAAACACCAACATGCCAGAAAAAAATGTAAAAGATTCAAAAGCAGAATCATTGAGTTGGAAACCCCTCCTAAAAATGACTCAATAAGGTGTAGCTAGTCACCTTCTCAATGGCACACAAAGCCATTTGACTTTCAACTGTGATCAGATGTGGTCATTTTGATTAGCTCAACATGAAAAGCGCTTTCCTGCAGCATTTCAGTCCCTGAAGCAAACAATCAACTATGGGTGGCAAGGCACCGTCAAAAGATCTAGTTAAAGTTGTGGACAGGCACAAGTCATGGAGATGGATGCAAAGTAAAAATAATTCAAAGGCTTTATCAATGCTTTGAAGCAAAGTTAAGTCTATTATTAAAAAGGAAGGTTTTTTTTTAGACCAGATCTGCTTTGCACACAACTTTTTTAAATTTCTTTTGACATGTTGGTGCTATATCGTTCACTTGGATGTTAAGTTACACTGAGTAAATACAGCTGGACAAAACAAAAACTGTATCCGTCTTTATTTCAGGCAGCAAAGCAACACAATGTGATTCTTGTCTACACCCACTGTATGTAGTATTACATTATGATCAAATACTCCCAAGCAAAAGCTTTATTTGTGTGCAAAATTATATACATTTTGTTTGGGTATAGCATTCCATGACAGCACAATTACCAGTTAAAGTAGTGCAGTGCCGAATAGCAAAAAAATAGCCAGGTCATGAAGATGGTAAAAAATTTCTGGAGCTGAAGTGATTAAAAGGGACTCTGATGAGAAAGGTGCAGACTGAATATATTTCTGGTCGATCTATTTTGGCTTGATTCTATTTGATATTTCTTTGCTTTGTTTTACTGAAATAATTTCTGTGTTATTCTGAATCATATAATAAAAGTTTGCAGGGCCCTACACTAATGTAAACACAGAGAAGGCACACAGTGAGAGGGGGAGAACAGAGTGCTGAGACTTAACCTCTTGCCGTCCGCCTGCTGTTTATAAACGGCAGGGCGGTGGCAGTTCAGGGTCGGGTTGCCGTCCATAAACGGCACCCGCCTTTTCTAGCTGTGCGTGCTCCCTGGGAGCGCGCACCACCGCGATCCGGTGCCCGCTGTGTCCTCCGGACAGAGTGAAACACCGATCGTCGGACGGGACCTCTGTACGAGGTCCCGATCATGTGATCACTGATTGGCGAATCAGTGAACACATGCAAAGTAGTAAGCAAGATGTCACTTTGTGACATCATTGCTTACTATGTGTGAAATCTGTGAATGATCACAGAGGTCACATGGTACAAGGCTATTCACAACAGCCTTGTACCATGTGACAAGCTGTGACCACTCACAGCTCACTCAGTAATTCTCAATGACTGCAGGAATGCAGACAGAGAAAGAGAAATGATTGCTTTACATCCTATATTGGGTGTAAAAGCAATCAGTGTAAAAAAAAAAAAAAAAAAATCTTCATCACCCTCCACAAGTAGTACAGTGTCACCATGGTGACAGTGTACTGCTAGGGTGACAGTATGTAAAAAAAAAAAATAAAATAAAAAATAATAATTAAAAAAAAAAATAAAATAAAATGTAAAAAAAATAGTTTCAAAAATTATAATTTTTGGTTATAAACTAATTTGGATTTTTTTTTTTACTAAAAAAAATAACGGAATAAATTTTGGCTAAGATTTATGATGAAATATTATTTATTGCAAAAATTTTATTTAAAAAAACACTTTTTCTCTCAAATTTTTGAACTTTTTCATTTACATAGTAAAAAAATAAAATTCCCAGCGGTGAATAAATACCACCAAAATAAAGCTTTATCTGTCTCAAAAAAAATGGTAAAAAAAAATTCATATGGGTACAGTATTGCATGACCGCCGCAATTGTCATTCAAAGTGTGATAGCGCTGAAAGCTAAAAATTGCCCTGAGGAAGGGGGTTAAAAGTGTCCAGACAGGAAGTGGTTAACTTCACTGCTTCTTTTGTGAATTGTATCTTGTGCCTGCATTTACAGAGGCCTTTGAAGGCTTATTACTTAGTTTATTGTTGCTTTATAAAGTTTATTACTGCTTGTTAACCCCTTAATGGTACGTCAGTGTTTCTCAATTCCAGTCCTCATGGACCCCCAACAGGTCATGTTTTCAGGATTTCCATTTCACTGCCTTGGTAATTACCACAGCTGTTTCATCTGAGGGAAATCCTGAAAACATGACCTGTTGGGGGTCCATGAGGACTGGAGTTGAGAAACACTGCCGTACGAATATGCGGACCCACTGGACTGGGCTTTTTCCCCACGGGGCTGCTAATTTATGTACCTGTCGTAGTGCTGGGAGCAGTGGCTGATTGGCTATCACAGTGATAAGTCACTGTGAAGCCCGCCCCCGTGTTTTCTTTCTCTGAATGGAGGACAGAGATACATTGTCTGTCTCTCTCTCTGTCCTTTCCAAAAAAAAAATGTGTGTGTAAAAAAAAATATATAATAATAATAATTAAATCATTTATTTAAAATTTTTTTAAAAAATTACCAAGATCAAAGTTTGATCTAAATCAGTGCCAGGGTTAGTGTTTGGGTCAAGGTCAGGGTCAGTTTTTCTTTTGTCCGTATTTTTTTTTCTAATTTTTAAATTAGTATCAGTGTCAGTGCATTTTAGACAGGATAAAAAAAGTAAAATGAGCACTGTTGTTTCTGGGCTGTACTACGGGTACAACAACTAACATACACATATGTGGTGTCGTTGCAGTCGTCAGGAGCAGAATTAATTTTGAGTTCTTCGGTGGCAGGTTATGGTAGTAGCAAGAAATGGGGTTATGGATATGCAAATATTTGAGTGTCCATAGCCTTACCACAGGCTAATTCAAATCAGCATACATTTTCCTGCATCAGACTCTTAAAGGCATTAACCGCCTCCCGCCCCCATATAGTACAATGACAGGTGCAAGGTGGTTCTCTTGTTCTGGGAGGACGTCATATGACTCATATATGGCACTGATAGGCAGCACTGATAGGTGGCACTATTAGGCGGCACTGATTGGCAGCACTGATAGGTGGCACTGATTGGCAGCACTGATAGGTGGCACTGACTGGCATTGATAGGTGGCACTGACTGGCATTGATAGGTGGCACTGACTTGCACTGATGGGTGGCACTGAAAGGCAGCTCAGATGGGCACTGATATGTGGCATTGATGTGCACTGGTAAGCACTGATATGTGGCATTGATGAGGTACTGATGGGCACTGGCAGGTGTGGCGCGGCGATCGGTGGTGCGCTGTGTCCCTTGGAGATAGCGGATCACCAATTGATGGTAAGAGCCGACGATGTCGGCTCGGTCATGTGATCAGCTGTGTCCAATCACAGCTTTTCGCATGTAAATAGGGAAATGCCGGTTATCGGCATTTCTCTCCTCATGAGCTGTCACGCTGACAGCTCGAGAGGAGAGGAGAGCCGGTAATCGGCATTCCTCGAAGGGGCCGTGTACACCGATTGTCAGGGCACTGATGATCTGTGTAGCCCCAGCAGTGCCACCTGTCAGTGTCCATCAGTGCCAGCTGTCAGTGCTCATCCATGCCACCTGCCAGTGCCCATCAGTGCCTCATCAATGCCACATATCAGTGCTTACCAGTGCACATCAGTGCCGCCTATCAGTGCCGCCTATCAGTGCCGCCTATCAGTGCCATATATGAGTGCCATATATGAGTGCTGCCTTTTAGTGCCCATCAGTGATGCCTGTCAATGCCCATCAGTGCCACCTACCAGTGCCTCCTCATCAGTGCCCATCAGTGCCACCTATCAGTGTCCATCAGTGCAGCCTATCAGTGCCCATCACTGCAGCCTCATTAGCGCACATCAGTGAAGGAGAAAAATCACATATTTACAAAATTTTATAACAAAAACTAAGAAAAAAAAAACATTTTTTTTTTAAAATTTTCTGTGGTTCTTGGTTTGTTTAAGAAAAGATAAAAAACCCAGAGGTGATTAAATACCACCAAAATAAAGCTCTGTCACAAAAATGATAAAAATTTCATATACTGTAGGTACAGTGTTGCATGACCGCACAATTGTCATTCAAAGTGTGACAGTGCTGAAAGGTGGAAATTGGCCTGGGCACAAAGGGGGTAGAAGTGCCCTGTAGGCTGGTGGTTAAAGTTTTATTTTTTTAAATAACAGGGATGTTCAATTCCTATCTCCCAACGCTCGGGACATGTAGTTCCAGGCGTCGGGCAGGTAGTTTTTTTTCTACTTTAAGACCTGCTGCGTGGAAACAGCAGGGCTCACTTGTCAGGTGAAAGCATTTGGACGGCAGTGCTGCCACCCGATTGCTTCCACAAAGTGCCATCTCCCCCCCCCCCCGGTGACATCTCCCGGGCTCCGCTTGCCTATCTGCAGGCCTGGGACCAGCTCACCTCCATTGGCTAGAGGGGAGGGAGGAGAGTGGACACATCCGCTCCCCTCCCTTTCTTGGTTTTGATGTCACTTCTGGGTCCCCGTTTGAGAGATTCCCGGCCATGGAAGCTGGGAAAGAATGTAATGCGGTGCGATGCGCACTGCATTACGTTACATTCAGTGGATCATAGGGAAAACATGCAGGGTCTCTGGACCATAGATGCCTCAATAAAGAGAACCTGTCACCAAAAAATCATCACAGACTTTGTCCCCTCTGTGATGCAAAAAAAATTTGTGCTTGTTAAAAATGAAAGTTACACCCAAGCACATACCATCCCACCCCCCAAAAAATTGAGGCCCCCACCACCCCCACACATACTCATGTACAAATGTAAAAGCACACGCTGGGGCACCTACACATCAAAACGTCAATTGCAAAACACATGTTACATATCGCCCGCGCACGCCAGAATGAGAGCAATAATTCTAGCACCAGACCTCCTCCATAATGCTAAATAGATGACCTATAAGGAGCTTTAAAAGTGTTGACCTATAGAAAATATAGGGTACTGAAGTTCGTCGCCATTTCACAAGCGAGCACAAATTTGACAAATTGGATATCTATTTACTCGATGCAACCTCATCTTTTATATTTTACAAAAAAAAGGTAATATATTGCTTTTTATGTGCCCTAAAATTAACTTACTTGTGTTTTTTACAGAAATTATGCGGTAATATCATGCGACATAAAAAATTAGAACTACCACTATTTTATTCTCTGGAGTCAGCTTTCATAAAATATATCATGTTAGGGGGGTTTATGTAATCTTCAGGCCTAAAATAATTTTTTGAACTTGCAAAAAATGCAAAAAACAGCTCTGGCAGCAAAATGGATAAAGGATAAGCCCTGACCCACCCTTTCCTGAGTAGCAGTCAATCATTGCTCATTACACTGCAAGGTCTCTCCCCTCCCTGCTAGTTCCCGTGTGCGGTGCTGGAGAGAGGCAAGGAGGCAAGGAGGAGATAAACAGTGCAATGTTAAAAATATTAAACGTTTAAGTCGCCATAAAAGCCCCTTTTGTTTGTAGCCTCCCTGGCGGTTTGATTATGTCAGTATTTCTGTGCTCAAAGCAGTACATTTTTTTGCATGGAAATATGTTGTTTTTTTAATCGTAGGCCTGTAATTTTTAGGAATAACTCACTGAAATCTGTCCGAACAAGAGCCTAGTAAACATCATGGGTTATGATAAAATTTGAAACACGAAATCATAAATTATAATTTAATAAATAATCATAAAAAATAATATATATAATAATAATAATAATAAATTAATTCAATAATGTAATCAAACCAAAAACACTGAAATTTGAAATAGAGCGCAAAATCATTTTCAGTGTCTGATGACGAATTTCCTCACGAATCATTATCACTGAATTCTGCAAGTGGTTCTAATTTACTATCGCTGTTCTCTAGCTGGTCTAAAACCGCTTTTGACCTAAAGGGACACTCTTTGGACGCCATGGACATTTCTCAGTTTCCAGCAGAAAGAACAGTAAAAATGCAGGCAGGGCACAGGACAAAGCACTAGGGGCAAAATGTATGTGAAATGGTTTGATACAGTAATGTTTTACTATGTGATTTTAGTGTATTTAGTGAATGTCACTTTTTGACATTTTTAAATTTCCCGCTGGTTCCGGCTCCCATACGTCCTGTATGTCCCGACATCGCAGGGAACGGAACCCGGAAGACAGATGCTGGCATCGGCCAGAGGAGATGGCCGGGGACACTGCAGGGGGGACATCGTGGGAGAGAAGGACAAGGTAAGTGCAGAAGTGATCCCGGAGCAACACTGCAAGTTATTCCCGAGTCTAGCTCGGGGTTACCGCTTGTGGTGCTGAAACTTTACCCCGAGCTAAACTCGGGAATACCTCCAGGGAGGTTAAAAGCCCCAGACATTCGGAATATCATCTCCAATTTAAATACAGTTTTGGTTAAAATGTATTTTTTTATTTGGACAAGTAGATTGTCATGCGGGAAGTAAATTGTGACACAGATTTAGTCCCTGGACAAGTTATTTTTTAAAAAATGTCCACACTCCTGAACAAATATTTCATACTTATCTTCTCTGTGCAATGGTTTTGCACAGAGCAGCACTGATCCTCTTCTTCTTGGGTCCATTGTCCTACACCCTCCCTCTCCCCACTGGCTGTGATTGATAGCAGCAGAAGCCAATGGATTCAGCTGCTGTCTCTGAGCCTATGACGAGGGAGAAAAATGCTGCTCTCACACACAGCACAAGATTGCGATGGGGCTCAGGTAAGTATAAGGGGGGGCTGGGGTGAGAGCAAAAACACGGGTTTTTTTTTTACCTTAAAGCATAGAATTCATTAAGGTAAAAAAACCTTCTAGCTTTACAACCACTTTAATGTTGGGCAGTTGAATTATGTCCAAATAATGTCTCTAACTACCATCTTTTCTCTAGGACCTGCAGAATATACCTTTTAGTCCATAGAAATTCCATTCGCCACACCCATTTTGAGTTTCTTTTTCATGGTCAATGAAAACATCAACAGTAGAGAAATAATCCCTTACCTCGATGAACCATATCTGCAGACCTGGCTTCCGACTGATGTTAGCAAACATCTGTGCACTCATCTTGACAGAGAAACTGGAAAAATAGAATTTAATAAGATATTTTAAATCAGTCCTTAGAACGTATACACATTAGCAGCATATAGATAAAGTACACAGGAGAGGAGGAAAATCTCTACAAAGGGGGAACACAAAGCAAAAACAGCACTAATATGATTCATGGAGAAGACAGAGAACAGTATCAGGTTTTTGTCACTGTATGCTGCTGTCGAGGAGATGATACAATAAAGGAAGTAGTGGAGCATCTCCTCAACATCCGTTCTTACCCCACCCCAGTCTATTCAGAACCAAAAAAGAAAAAAAAAGAAGAAAAATGCACACTGTAAAACTGAACTTCATTTATATTTTGTTTTGACAAAATGTGTACATGATAAAAAAGACAATTATGATACAAGTAGCCTTTGTTCTAAGAGATGCTGGTAATTGAGTGAGCCCCCATGTACAGGCTGGCCATAGAAGGCTCAAATTTCTGCTAATTATTTATTACAGGTACTTATACAGTACCATCTATATATACCAGTACTACAGTACTATATATATATATATATATATATATATATATATATATATATATATATATATATATTATTTTTTTTTTTTTATTCACATCAGTCTCTAATCCTCAAGAAGCATACAATCTAAGGTCCCTAAGTCAATCACATTCATAAATTTACATAGGAGCCAATTAACCTACCAGAATGTCTTTGGAGAGTGGGAGGAAACCGGAGTACCCAGAGGAAACCCACACAAGCACAGGGAGAACATGCAAACTCCAGGCAGGTAGTGCCGTGGATGGGATTCAAACTGATGACCCTAGTACTGCCAGGCCAAAGTGTTAACCATTTAGCCACTGTGCTACACTGCTCAATAGGCCAAAATTCAAGCCGTGGGGGGCCCTACTAAGTACCACCTGATTCAACCAAAATCAGTTTGAGCCAGGGGGAAAATTATCGGCTTAACAGTGACTGAATCCCATGAGATGCAGTCACTATTCAGATATTCAGACACCTGTGTTTGCTGCTGCTGCTGCTTGGGTATGACAGTTGGCTGTGGAGATTCCTCCATCCAGGCTGTTATGCAAACGTGGCTAAACAGACGTTTTTTAACCTACGTTTTCCATCAGTCAGTTTCCATCGTTCAGAAGTGTTTTCCAAACGTCCCGTGTACATGGAGCCTTACTGTGCATGGAGGAATGGATTACTTTTCTCTCATTCAACCCACACTAACAGTTCGAGTCGTGTATGGCTACATTTACACAAGTATTTAGAGCACTGCTGTTAGATTAGAATTTTTTTTTTGGTCAGGTCAGGTTTAGGTTATAAATTAGATACAATCTGACATTAAGGAAATTATATAAAAAATACTAAAGTGGAATGTGAGGTGATTTCCAGTGCCAGGTTTGAATATATTCAAATCTACAAAGCAGGTCAAATGTGTCACCAGCTATGTAAAGAATAGCCATGTGGAGGCTCTGTTACACAGTCCAGATTTGCCCTAGATTTGTGTATTAGCAACAAGGTCCACGCCTAAACTATCTTCCGCTGCATTCACCTTTACATCTTCCCTAAAGGGATACTTTGTTTTGTTTCTTTTATTAATTAATTTATGTATGTATGTATTTATTTATTACAGCTTTTCGTCCAATACTAAAAAAGAAAGCTTTAAAAATATTTTCAGATTATTTTTAATCAGGTAAATATGAAATACAGTATGCAAACATATTCAATATTTATTACTTACAGACAGCACAAGGTGCTCTATGCATGAGATATATGTTATTTAAAAGATATATTTGCGGACAT